AATTTTCAAGTTATGGTCACTGAGGCGGAATTTAGTTAAATTTTCGCGCATATCAATGTTTTTACAGGGTAACAAGGTATGTTTCGAAAGCAAAATTGTTTTTAATTCTCTGTATGTTCTTAATTTATTTTTTTCATTTTGTTTTGATCGATTGTCATTATGTAATTCACTTTTCCAAGTTGATATGAATGATGTTTGTATATTTTTGTTGATTTGTCCTAATTCCCTTGCAGTTAGAGTTTCATCGCTGTTGATCAGATAAGAATGGTTGATGTTATTTAAAAGGGAATCTATATTGGTGTACCATTTAATGTTAATTTCTTTATTTTCTTGGAAAGCTAGTTTTAGTAATGGATTTGACGAGTTCTTTATACGATTAAAATATTTTATCATTTGTTTTTCGATAAAAGTCTCCAATGGGTAACGTCCAAGTTCGCCGTATAAACCCATTGTTGTAGTGTTTTTGGATGTACCCAAAAGAAAACGAAGATAATTTATATGTACATCTTCAATTGGTGATTTTAGTGAAATTTCATCTCCCCATACATCACTAACCTACTAAACACTTAACACCATGGAATGTGGTTTAAAGAATGTGCTTGGAATGGTCAAAAGCTATCCACTATTATAGTGTTGACCATGGTCAAGTCTCATTTTTAAGATAATAATAGTTGATGTTAGACCATGGTCACGTTTGTCAAGGAAGTCTGTTAGCATTGCCTCGGGATGTTTGCCAGAGTGCATGTTATCAGAACACTTGATTCCTTTCACTCTGGAATTACTGTGATGGGGAACCAATTGTAAGATAAAGTGTGGGAGTCCGCCAAAATGACATGGCTTCGTCCTGGTCATATCTGTGTCGATGACGAGATCGTGTACGAGGTTGATGTCAGTGATTGATACTCACATTTTGATATCCAAGTCATGGCGTGTATGTTCAGTTATACCTCTCCAACTCCAGATTTATAGCGAGGATGTGAAATTTAATGGTGCATCAATCAAGAGAGTAGTTGTACATTGGTATTGCATTAACAAAATTAAACTTTTAAAGAAACATATTGCCTAAAACATAACAACATGAAATAAAACATTCTGGGGATTTCTTGTTAAGCTACAACAGCGACAAAATAACGATTACCCAATCAATCTTTGAAGATGACTAAATCCCTTTCATCGGCACTGAATAATATCTTATCCCCTTCTTTCCGACAACACTCAACCAGATATTCTAATAATTTCTTTTTTATTTCAGGTTTGCAAGTTTCTCGAAACTTGTAGATGACAGTTGTGGAGTCAATCATGTATGCACCAGCTTGGGATTCTTCGTCAAAAGAATCAACCATGTCCACCGTATATTCCCTCTTTTTAGTCTCATATCTAGCATTTGGAATACGGCGTTTGATGACATCCTCTATAAAGTGAGTTCCAATGAAGTTATACATTGGATCAGTGAAATACTCTCCAACTTTCAGTAAAAACTTTTCCCATCCGCCTGGTGAGAAAAATGTGCTTAATGAGTCATAATGCTAAATAGCATCAAAAAAAGTGAAAGAAAGCATTCCGTGAACCTTATGTTTTATTTTACAACTTTATCGACATGCTTCGGAAATATGGGGTATACTAAATGTAACCTGGTGTAAAAGTAAATTGATGTCTAATTACAAAGAAAAGCAAACGCTGTCACATACCGTCAATCATCTTGGTAAAAAGCATTCCTCCCTTCACCAGACGGTTATACAAGTCAACTACAGTTGTTTCAACATCTTTGAAGTGATAAGCAGAATGTGACATAACAATGAAACCAAACGTTTGCGTTCCATTTACTTCTAAATACTCTTCAATTGTGGTAGTATGAAAATCAAAAACTACATTTTTCCATTCATCTTTATTATCTTTCACCAGTTGTTTGAACTTATTCAGTTCTTCTACAACAGGGTCAATAGCTATGAATCTGATACTTGAGTACATAGTCAATAAGATGTCTATGATTGGCTTATCCACGGTACCTATAAAATTGAATGTTTATTACTATTACTGTGATATCCTGTGTATTACAGTTAGTAGTTATAATTAGATCATATATGTCATCTCAGCTCAGATTCATCTCTGTAAATTATTATTTTACGTGATAATGCAATTCTTCACCTATATTTAAATTGTTGTGTTACTAATGTAATGAGGTTGTTTAACTATTTATATAAGAAACTCACCACTTCCACAACCAACAGACATTACATTCAGTCCCTGTGTTGGATCTAAATTCAATCTTTGGACAACCTTCTTGACATCACTAGCCCACTGCTCACCGTCAACGTTGAATCCACGTTTTTTCATTTCGTCATAGCAAGTATAATAATATACTGGATAGTGGGCAACTGTTTTTACAGCCTCTTTCATGGTTACCTTAATGTAAAACAAAAAAAGCTAAAAAAAAATTGACTAATGACTCAATTTACAACTGGCTCTGTTCTGGTATTCTCCATATTAAATGTAAAAACAAACTTCTAATCGCAACTTTTGCCTGCTTAGTATGGGTTAACAATTTTCTTGTGAAATTGGGATTGAAGGTGGTAGTGATCTGAATGAGCCAAGAATTCATGTATGTGAATATAACCAGGGAAGAGGTGTCACGTGATTATATTGGTTTGTTGCTATACAAAAAATATTTTCCAAAATTTACTTAATCCAGGAGGATGAGTATGAAGATGTGTAGACGGCACTTTATCCTGTAATAGTGACAATATACACTGATATGTTGAATCGATTTGCGTGATTGAACTGAACTGATCTATACAATTTTGTTTTGAAAAGTTGCCACTATGAACATATTTCTGATGGTAAATTATTTTATATATACAATATGTGCTGAAGATGTTTTTTGAAATGCAAACACCCTTAGTTAGTCTTGCCAATTGTACGTCACTAAAGTTGTTTGAAAACCTGGCTTGCTCTTACAACTGATGGACTGAGTTTCTGTTCTAAACGAGAATGAAAGTTGGCGACAATCATCTGTCTTTGGCCTTGAGGTGTTGTCGCTCGGAAACTCAAGAGCGTTAATATTCACTGAAATTATTATGAGTGCTTTTTGATTTGTTGAAAATTATCCTAAATTTTAAAATGTTTACACTATATTTAATTAGTGGTAGTAATTGCTCAACCAGTATAATTATGATCAAATAGTTTGGCATATATCACTGACAACGAAAGACGCCCACCATAAAGTTTCTTGTTAAATAATGAAGTAGAAGTAGAGTTGCCTAAAATACACACTTAAAGAGAGAACGTTTATAACGTTTATTGTGTTTGGAGAGAACCCAAATTGATTCTGAGTAAAAGTATTGAAAGTATATACTAAGTGAAGGACCTACCGGG